CTTCCCTGTACTACCTGAAAACCTATTCTTGAAGGTTATGGAGACCTTTGGGAAGGATACAGCATATTAGAAAACCTGCTGAAATTACAAACATAAATTGGCATGAACAGACAAATCCTTAAATTTGTTTTGTCCTTACCTGTGAACTCAACTACTACATGTCTTTATTAATTCTACTATTTACCATTCATTAAAATTTAAGTTTAATTTATTTCTATTTGGTGATGGAAATTGATGTAGCATGTGTAGTTTGGACAGGGCACCAGGATAAATATTTTTAAGCTACAAATTGCTCTTCCCAGTTTGGGCATTTATGTGTATACATTTATACCTTGTAATATGGTGAACTTTGGGGGGGGGGGACTTTTTAGATGGAAAGGTAAAGTAGTAAGACTATATTTCCAGCCAAAATTTAGAATTGAAGTTAAAATATACTTTATAGCTAGCAACTTTATTGTGCTGTCACTACTCTAATACACTTCTTAATTTCACTTGTTCACTTATACCATAAACAGTTATCTACTTGGATATCAATTGTGTCTGTAATCAAGGGCAGTATTTCCATAGTTATCAGTAGAGCTGTTGGTGTTTAATAATAGCTCTGTCTTGTGAACCATAGCAGTACAATTTCTGGCATGCCATTCGATGCCATACATGTGTGCCAGTTCAATCCTACAGGGGGGGAAGATGCCAGAGATCTGGAAAGACTATATGTGCTCTCTCTTTAGAAAGCATAGAGGCTCCTCTGCTACTTCAATTGGAATTTATTCTCCAGAGCTGGAAACCACAGTGGTGTGAGACACATCCTACTTTACCTCACATTGACCAATTAAGGCTAGTTGTGAATTTCATATGTTGGTTATGGTAGGACTGTGTCTTCATAGCTTCATTAGTTAAGATTTGTTGAGCATTCACTTCTTTCCTGAATTCCTAAAAAAATGATATCTAACAAATGAACCCTACATTAGTTTAAACTGGACTGTCAAGGTGCCTTATACAAAATTATAAAATATAATTAAATTGGGAATCTTCCATCCTATCCAAAACCTAGCACTGTGCTCCTGCGCAGGACAGCAGGTCTTCTCAAAATCTAAGTAGAATGATGATCTGTCTTGGCTAGAAAGGTGAAGGCCCCCCAAAAATTCAGAGAAAAAATTTCCTATTTTTTCCAAGGCCTTTTTAAAAATTGAGAAATTGGGAATTTTGGGGAGTACTGAAAAAAACTTCTTAGAAATATTTTTGACTTTTAGAATGAGTGAAATGTTTTTAAAAGCAAGGTGAGCATGCTGTGGACATACAGAGTTCTTAGATATGAGATGCATTTCTGCACCTAGAAGGATATCTCATTTTCATCAGGGCAGCAAGCAGGGTTTTCATTGGTTTTGTTGCCCTTATTTGACCTCTTGTGGTTGACCTTTTCACCACTGTGACATAGATACCAACAAGCTGGGTATCAAGTAGCTTGCCCTACCTTTCTGGAGGGGAAAAAAAGGAAGAGGTGGGGCAGCTGTTCTGGGCTGTTTTGTGCAGTCTCTCCATCCATGAACTGCCACAAACTGCTCTAACAGTTTGTGGCAGTTCATGGCGGTAGATGTGAACCACGAACTGGGCAAAATTCTTGATGAATTTTGCTTCGTGGTTCGGTTTGTGCCCATCCCTAGTGCAGATATTATTATTGACCCTTTGTATCACCCTAATTTCTGACCAAATAATATAGTTTATGTTATTTCTGTTTTTTAACTCCTTTCCCCCTCCTGCTTTTCAAATAACAAAAAATAAGGTATATGAGCTAAGGTAGCATAGGGAGCCTGCTTGTGGTTTTCTCGTATTTGGTATATTTGCTATCTTGCTTATAGAAAACTAAGGCATTTGTAACTTTTAAATTCCATAAACATGCCAAATGTTACAATTTTGTATGCTAAGTTATAAATTATGCATTTTACATTATTAAAGCAGTAAAATTAGGTTGGCTTTGATAGGAAAGCAAGTATTGAATGTATTTCAGTTTTTCCCAAAATTTCCTTTTTCTGCAAAAATGAAAAAGTTTTTTTCTATGCTGTCAACATTTCTGGAAATTTTACATCTCTAGTCTTAACACAAGTGGAGCAGTGTTTCCAGAAGTGAACTTTCTGAACCTTCATCCTGGCCCCATGTGTCTCTCAGAAATCATATTCCCAGTGATCAGCCCAGGAACAGTGTTGGTAGTACAATGGGAGGAGGAAGATAGGACAACATTTCCATTGATGAAAGTGCCTTCTAACAACAGCAAACAGTCATAAACCAGGGCAGAGGGGCAGACCTGCCACTCCATTGAGCAAAGTTTGAAGCTTCCTCCAGCTTGTTGCTCTTCCTCCAACAGAAAACCCACTTAAGTTGGAAGAAACTTAAGTTGATGGAAGTCTGGATCCATTCCAGTGTTTTCTGTTGTGTGATTCAGGCTATTTGGATTTAAAGTGAATCTATAATTAAATTAAAATTATGACTAGGGGCTTGTCTAATCTCAGCCCTCTAAAAGAATCATAGTAACTTTACTTGAAGATTTGAAGCCAGAATCTGAAGTTGGTTCATTAACCATGGTTACTGTTTGTAGTTTTGCATTATCTATGAATGGTGAATCTTTGATTTCTCCTTGTGTGCTGCTTCTCACATCCAACCAGGCTAAAGAGATACCCAACAAGACTTGATCAAAATCAGAACTTCTCTTGATATGCAGTACACTGTGCTAGGAGCCTCCTGTTCATGTTTATCCAAGGTGTGGGGATGCTGGTATGCAGGATGCCCAGGCAGCTCAAGGCATTTCCCTGCACCTACTAGCAAGGCAGGCTCCAAAGGCAATGTCTCTGCACTTTCCTTGGAGCCATGGTGGGAAGCAGTGACATAGGTGCAAGGGATGTCTGGACACTTCAAAGTGTGGGCAAGATGCATGCCGCATAAGGAAAGTTTTAATCTGAAAAACTAGGAAATTATAGTTTGTCACTATCCAGTGATTAATAACTTTATGATACAGTGAACCTTTTCCCTTTAACTGATGTTGTAATGCAAGCTAGGATGGCAGCCAGTTTTCTGAATGGACGAATGGAGAAATTGCAACCAGGATTTGTCAAAACAATCCTGGATCGCATAATTATCTGTGACTTGAATCCTGGTTTCACAGACCATCTACAGATAAAATAAACCACAACAATGCATTATGTCTGCATTGAACCTTATAGTTAGAGAGTTTTCTGAAATGCATCTCCTGATGATAGTAAGGTATTTGTGCTTCATTTTTCTGTGTGATATTTTTAATCATTATTTTAATGAATTACTCGAAGGTGTTTACATAAAATCTGCCATTGTGGGCTCCCAGAGTGTCAATTATATATTTGTTTTGATTTCAAGCCTATCAAACCCCACGGAATCAATTAGGAACAATCTTGGACACACTCTCTCCATATAAACAGCAAATTTAAGAGAATGCCGCAGTTGACTTTGAGATGTAGTAGGAGTAGAATTGGTATCTGTGAGTTTCCAGGGAGGGTGGGGTACAAATTGAATAATAATAATAATAATAATAATAATAATAATAATAATAATAATAATAATAACAACAATCTTTAGACTCCAGCCATATAAGGTTTTATAGACCATCATGCTGAGTGCAGAAGGTTATATGTTCTCTGGAGTACTAATGTAATATGATCCTGATTACCACCCTCTTCCAGAAAGTACCCTACAGCACTCCTACTACCATTAAAAGCAACCTTATACAGAGCACATAATCTAGCATCTAAGGCATGAAGGACTGCTTCATGGGAGAGGATGTGGTTTAGTGGCAGAGCATCTGCTTGGCATGCAGAAGGTCCCAGGTTCAGTCCCTGCCAGCTCCAGTTAAAAGGCTGAGGTAATTGATGATGTGAAATTTCTGTACCCTGGGACCTTGGAGAGCCAGTACCAGTCTGTGTAGACAGTACTGACCCTGATTCTGTATAAGGCAGCTTCCTGTGTTCATGTGTACTGGGTACAAGGAAAAATATGGAGTTGGTAGAAGACATTTCTGGCTGCTGCTCTTTCCTGAGTAGCCAGCCTCATCAGTGAATTCAGGAACACCCTTAGGCCATGGGTTTAAGTAACTAGAAAGAGCTGAATGCCATCAGGGGAGGGATCCCCACTTTTCTCCAACTTTCAAGGCCTCCTAATTATTATTGCCTCTGTCATTGTCTTCCGCCAACGCATGAACACTTTTTTGTTTCATTTGGCATACCTCCAGTAAACTCTTACTGGCCCGCCTCCTTTGTTGCATGTGTGTTCGTGTGTTTATATGTTTTTATTGTAATGTTGAATATGTATATATACACATTTTAAATGCTGTTTTAATGCATTGATGTTTGCTGCATTGTATGTTTGACTACATGTTTTTATTATAGTGTTACATATTTATATATGCATTTTGAAGCTGGTTTAATGCGTTGATGTTCGCCGCCTGGCACCCTGCTTGGTTGGAAAGGTGGCATATAAATGTCTTAAATAAATTAAATAAATTATATCAGTGCTTGCTGCTAGATATTTTGAAAACAAATTCAGAAAACTCTGGATTTGTGTTCGTGTTTTTTTTTGGGGGGGGGGAGATAAAAACTTCAGCTAGTAAGACAATATCTAGAATCCAAAGACCCATGAAATTAGTTCCATGAGTCTGAGTGGGCTCTCAAATAGTTTTTTCAAACACTGTTTCAAACAGAGTGATTAAAAAACTGAGCCTATGTCATATTGCAAACTCCTTTTGAAAGTCCAAAATTCAACTGGGCTAGTCTTATATGAACGTAAGTAGATCTCTGCATCTCATTGAGTATATGGCTACAATTTTAAAATAAAATTTTAATTAAATGATAGTATATTTAAAAATTGATTAATGAAGTAAGTAGCTGCAGTATTTACTAATGGTCTTGTTGAATGTTGATTATGTGACTTCAATTAGGAATACTTATATTGGTTTATAATAGAAAATGTGTTTTATTATACAGATTGGCAAAAGAAAAGGTTATGTATGAAAAAGAAGCAAAGCAGCAAGAAGAAAAGATTGAGAAAATGAAAGCTGAAGATAAAGATGACTATGGAATTAAAAAGCAGGTAAAGAATACCCTGGTTCATGACTACTGATTGATTTTTAGGGTTTTAACTCTAAAAGTATTATAATTTTGTCATCTCAGGGTAAACCCTGTTCTTCAAATTCATCATCTGTTTCCACTGTCTGAAAACTCTGTCAGATATAAAAGAAATGTATACAGTAATTTGTCAATAACTTATTTCAGTCTTGTATGTATTCTGTGTTTCAACATATGAAAAGATTCCCAGCACTACTTAGAAATCTTATAATTGAACTTACGGGCAGGATAGGGGATGTAAGCTTTCTCTCACCTATTTGCTCACAAATTAGAATGTATGCCCTTGCATTGGATGGAAGAATGATTTCTTACATAAAGAAATGCACTTTAAGGAATTCTGATAGCAGCAATTAAGGCTAATATGAATAAAAGAAGAAATATGCCTCAATCATTAGGTAACATTAAAACTAAAAAGTTCTCTGGTTGTGGGGGAGTTTCCTGGCAAAAAATGGCTTTTTGGAAAGTACAAAGATTTTTCTCTGAAAGAGAAACATTCCCCTAGAAAACACTGCTGCAAAACTGGGATTCTTCTCCCTGCTCTTGGAAGGAAACTAGCCCTGCATATTACTGGGGATCACTCTATGGTTCTAGCAGAAACTTTGAGAAGTGATTTCTAATACCGTATGCAGAGCCCCAGCCCTTTCCCCCGTAATTTATTTGTACATAATGTTGTAGATGAAGTGAACATTTTTACCACTGATACATTACTCCCCCCCCTTCACTGAACTTTGAACGAAGTAGGAAGGGAAGTGTTTTATGGGGGGAATCCGTTTCCATATGAAGTACTCAAAAGCCCTGTAAGCTGGGTGTACACAGAGGCTGAAAATTGTGTCTCTTTCTGAAACCACTCATGGCTTGTTAGAGGCTTGCCAGACATTGCTCTAGGTATAGTGCCTCTTGCTCTAACATCTCTGGAATTAGCAAGATATTATATGAGAAAAACAGGTTGCTTACCTGTAACTGATGATCTTCGAGTGGTCATCTGTGCGTTCACACCCATGGGATTCAGTGCGCACGCGCTGGATCGATCGGTGCTGTAGCAAGCGCTTTCAACGGATTTTCGTGCCCAGTCCCTTGGGCATGCGTAGGAACCCTACCGCACATGCCCAGAGGGGTGGGCGCGGACATCCCGCCAAAGCTCCCACAACTGTATGGCAAGGTTGCAGAGGCGTATGGAGACAGTGCCTCCTTGTCTGTTGACATAAGAGAGCGCCGTGGTGTTGTCTGTGAGGACCGTGACACATTTTCCCTTTATTAAAGGTAGGAAGCTGGTGACTGCGTGTTGTATAGCCAGGAGCTCTAGGAAGTTTATGTGTTGCTTCCTCATCTGTGCATCCCATTTGTATCCAACAGAAAGGCCCATGGAGTGTGCACTCCATCCCGTCAGGGAAGCATCCGTCGTTATGGTGACTTCAGGTGATGGAGGGTGGAAGGGTCCTCCCTGGAGGATATTCGAAGGGACAGTCCACCAAAGTAACGAGTCCTGTATGCTGGGAAGAGGGGATAGGAGGATGGTGTGTGTGTTTTTCGACAGGTCATAGTTGCGGATAAACCAGAGCTGTAAGGGGCGCATTTTGAGTCTGTCAAAGACGAGAACCGACGTAGTTGGATGGAGGAATCCAGTAGTTGGATGGTCGGTATCGGTGGAGGGAGTTGGGCCTCTGATATCGATACTGCCGTTGGAGCGAGAGGCACTAAAGGGGCATCACCTAGTGCAGGCACCGCTTCCTTCCCCTTCTTCGACGCCTTAAGGGGCTTGGAGACACCCTTCTTTGCGGACTTGTGATCTTTACTCACCTTAGTCTTCTTTTTGATTGGCGTGGACGCAGAAGATTACGACTTCAATGCCAGGAGCTTCGGTGTCGGATGGTCTCTTCTTCATCGCAGAGGTAGGAGTAAGTGCCGATTCCAGCAGTGCGACTTTAAGGCGTGCAGCTCGATTTTTTCTCGTTTGATTTGAAAAACGAGCGCAATGACGACAGGACTCAGGCTGGTGAGACTCTGAGGCAAAAAATGCACAGGGTATGACGGTCTGGAGGAGCAAGTTTGCTGCCGCAACCCTTGCACCTATTGAAGAAACCCCACTTCTTCTCCATAAAAGAAAATGAAGAAGAGGGAACGTTTGAGGGGGGGTAGCCCGAAGGCCTGAGGTAATCAGCAGAGTCCCCCTCAACAGAAACAAAAGGCTTTTAAAAAAAAGATTTTTTGAAGAACAAACAACAAAAAAGAGAAGCGAAAGGAAAAATAATATAAGGAAATGATCTCTAAGAGCTGAGGCGAATAGCCGAAAGCAAACCGATCTGACTGACAAAAAATAGGTCTATTCAACGCGGCGGTAAGAAAGGAACTGGCGGGATGTCCGCGCCCACCCCTCTGGGTATGCGTGGTGGGGTTCCTGCGCATGCCCAAGGGACTGGGCGCGAAAATCCGTTGAAAGAGCTTGCTACAGCACCGATCGATCCAGCGCGTGCACACTGAATCCCATGGGTGTGAAGCACAGAGACCACGTCGAAGATCTGTATTTCCTGTCCTGATGCTGTTGCATTTCATTCTTTGCTCTCTCTCCCCCTGCCTTGCAGCTGTGAAGTTTCCTCTTCACAATTTCTCATGAATAGCAAGATGTAGTTTCAAACCCTGTTGCCATTGTTACTTGTTCAGCTTTATATGTGCACTGAATTGTGTAGCCTTTTGTAAATGATAGAATTTCATGTGTGTTGAGAGGAATAGAAAGCATAATTTATGATTAGATGTGACATGGCAGTTCAAAAATGCACACAAAACAATCTGATTCTGCTCCAGCTTTGTGCAGTATACTAGGAGTAAGGCCCGTGTGGGAAGAAATACAATGAGCTCTAGAAGGAAGCTCCAGATGAGTGTCCTGGCTGTGGCTGGTGGGGTGGCAGAGGGAAGGGTATAATAGATGGAGGCAAGCCATGTTTATTTTCTTCTGCTTAGCTATAAGGCAGGGATGTCTCAAGTCATTTTGCTGCCTGAAGTGGGTACTATGGGAGGACAGCCTCATGGTAGCAGGTATGGTTCCCTCCACCCCTGACTTATGTTGATTTGGGGTTATGCAGTGGCAGCTAAGGTAGAAAACCACCTTCTCCTATGCCATGTCTTCTGGGTTCCAAGGGTCTGGAAAGCGGTTCCATAGACATTGTTATTGAAGAGGGGAAGAGGAGCCACTTTGAAATTATGAACCACTTTGATAAAAAGTCAAGTTGTGGCTGACTTATGACAACCCTATATGGTTTCCAAGGAAAGATACATTTGTTTGCCTTTTTATCAATTATTTTGCCTTTTTATCAATACCTGACCTGGATGGCCCAGACTAGGCCAGTCTTATCAGCGCTTGGAAGCAAAGCAGGGTTAGCTCTCTTAGGGTCTGGTCACACGGCGCTGTAAATGCGCCTTGTTCTCGCTGTAACTTAAACGGGAATATTTTGTTCTGATTTTACGTGTCTACACCACCCCTCAAGAGCCATCCCTCTTACTGGCTGCTACGGATGGCCCGCGGCGCGAGCCACTCGTGCGGCTTGGGCGCCGTCTCCGCCACCTGCTTGCTGTAAGCACTGACTTTTTTAAAAAATTGACTTTTTAAGCGAATGCCTGCCCATACGCTCAAACATTATTATTATTATTTTTTAAAAAAATTGAGTTCTTAAGCGAATGCCTGCCCATGCGCTCAAACCGGAAGCTTTTTTAAAAAAATTTTTCAGAGAGTGTTCAGACGGCCCTATTCGCAATAATTGCGAAATCATTGCGAAAGAGGGCTGTTCACATAGGTGAAATCACGCTTTCAAAGCGCGAGATCCAGGAAAGTACTTGATTTTCCGGGGTCAGGAAAACCCGCGAGTCTTTCACGAGTGAGCCTGCTTTGGTGCGGGAGGCGGATTGGCGCGTGTAAACAGAAACTTTAAAAGCGCGAGGGATCAGCAGCGAATCCCACAATAAACGTCCGTGTGACCAGACCCATAGTACTTGGATGGGAGACTACCAAGCAAGTCTAAGGTTGCTACAGAGAGGTGGGCACTGGGCAGTGGCAAACCACCTCTGAATGTATCTTTCCTTGGAAATCATATAGGGTTGCCATAAGTCAGCCACAACTTGACTTTTTATCAAAGTGGTTCATAATTTCTTGTTCCACAGTAAAGGCCAGGTGTGTTTTCCATACCCAAGCCTATTGCTATTGCTTCTTAGACTCCCCCTGCCATTCACTGAGATAAGGTATGGAAAAAATCAGAGAGAACTTTATACAATGCTGCTTTGTCTCCAACTTGACTCCACTGCTCTTTTCTGCTGCTGCTCACATATACTACCTGCAATTTCCCATGTTTTACTCTTAAACAGTGCACGAACAGAACAGCAACACTAAATGAGTGACAGTGGATAGGAAAGGGAATTTAGAAATGAGTCAGTGTCAGTAAAAACCATTTTACCTTTCCTCTGCTCTAAGTAGATTCCTCCCTTTCATTCTCTTCAAAGGCAAAAATTGCTAACCCTGTTCCTGGGGCTTGCCTTTTTCTAACTGATGAATTGCAATCTGGCCCTCAGCAAAGAACAGTCTAGTTGCATCAGGGCATGGGACTCCCTGTTGGTTGAAGATTATACTCAGTTAATGAGTCTGAATAAGAGAACATCTACCCCCAGGTATATTTACTTTTCAGTGGGCATCCAACCAAAGAGATGAATCTTCAGAAAATGTAGTTTTAACATTGCTTCCCTCCTACTCAGATTTTACATACATTTTCTTCAGTAATACTTCTGTCATATTTGGCATCCGGTCTAATCTCAACAGATAAATTTGAAAAACAACTTAAGTTTGTTTTTTGTGGTCTATGCAAATCTGGAAAAATTCTAGAGTTCTAGGTCTAAAACTGGTGCTAAAATCCCTTATCCAGAAGGATACTGATCTACTGCTCTGATACCGTCAAGAGTATGTGCCTTTCAGCTGACTTCTCTTTT